GTCACTATGAGTTACAACCGCGCTATTTAAACATGGCGCGGACAGCAAACACATCGTTCCATTACGTCGATGTTTCCGTATCCGATGTGCTGATACGCCGGCGCACTTGATTGGCACCAAGATGTAGATTTGAAATATATGTTCAGTAGTTATGCATACCAAATAACGGCTCCACGTGTTTAATCACTAGAAACTCATTTAATGTCAAATTATTTACTAGTTATTAAGTTTTCATTACTTACCTTGCAACATAGTAATATATTAACAAGCATTACACTTAATGTAATACAGTACCAGAAGAATAAAGATTGTGGCAGAATATAATGGAATTTTTATTATTTAATATCATTTGATGTTATGTATGTACATTATTATACACATATTATAAAATTTTTAGAAACAAGTAACATATCTTTAATTATTAAGTTGTTATACCTCTTCTTATAAATAATATTGTTAGTTATAAACAAATACAGTTTCTTCATAAATAAAATTATAGTTTTTTTAAGAGACTTGCAAAGAATGATACGGATTTCATAATTTATTTTGTAATACATTTAATTAATTATGTATATCTGAAAAATAATAAGGACAATTTTAGTCAAAATATCATAAGAGTCATAATTTATATTTAGTCGCAACTGTTTTTGCAAGAAATGTATCCGTAATACTGAGCTATAAGAATATTTATTTTATATCCTAAATTTTTAGTTAATACCTTCATAGCTTCATATAGATGGATAATGTGTACTTAGGTAAAAATGTTTATGAAAGAATGAAATGACGTGTACGTTATTTTAAACATATAATATATTCATTTGTATGCTTGTACATATCTCGCATTCTTTTATACAACAAAATATCTATGACAACAGTACAGTAGAGAACGGTATACAATATATAGTTGTATCAATAATTCATTCATAAATATGAGATGCAAGACAGCCTCGTTCTCTTAAGACATAACGTTATCGGGTCGTGATTGCATAAAATACATATAAGTATGTACTCATCTTGATTATTCTGATGTCCAGTCTTTCGGTAGAACTTTTGCATCGGTTTACTCCGCGTCTAGTGGATTCGATTTTTTTTTTTTATTATTTATTAAATCGTTCTTAAACTCGAAAAACAAATATATATTGTTATTATTCGATATAATCCTTAACACCACGGTAAAGAATGGTTTTTTTTTCTAATACTGTTAGACCTTTGTAATTAGTGATAAAAAGAAGAAAGTAATCGATAAAATAATAATAATCGTGCGTGACTTTCATGACAGTTACACTTACGATTAGACGTAAATCTATATTTTTTGTAAAGGAACATGACGATCTGTGCGATTTTCGCTCTTAAACGAAAGCGAGAGAACTGCGTATTACTTCTTAAACAAGTACTTTCGGCTATAATACGAATGTTGTAAAGTAGGCCAATCGGTTCGTGCTCCCTTCGTACTGAAAATGGCGAACCGGCGAACCGGCGAACCGAACGCTTTCGCAAATATCGTGGAGCGACTTCGTCCGTTTAAATCTTTAACAAGAGAGAATATCCGTTAGTGAAAAAATATGCTATTTACATGTAAGGTATCTAGTTGTGCGTCGATTCATTAATTCGCCGTTGGAGTGTATCAAAATCTACTTAAAGGGATGAACGATCCATGCAGTCGTTTATTTTCATAAATCTTTTTTTTCATAAATCGTTTTTCTAAATGTAAACATGCGTGTACAGTTCCGGCCAGAAAATCCTAATTCGATAAAAGTCGACGATATTTTATACCAAGAAACGTTACTCGTCGGGATTCCAAGTAATTGTACTCTGATTGAAAATATGTAAAAAATGGCATGAACCTCGAAAAAAATGCTATTCCTTTCTTTTCTCTTGTTCGCGGGGGGATTCGAATTGCAAGCATCGTCGGCAGTTTTTTTTTATTGATAGATTAAGGATAGAGAGATCAATCGTGTCCTATGTGCTCTAACTAATTATAGTGAAATAACTAATTATATTGTGAATGTCTCTTTGTTAGATAACGAGTGCTTTGATTGTTTAACGAGAGTGATGAGAACACGTAAAATTGAATATTCGTGAGATCTGGTCGACCATTGGATACGGGCAGTGGAAGATAAGAGACGCATAGAAAATAGCTCTCGTGGAGTAAAATCCAAACGTATACAGAATGTCTCGAGTTCTTTTCTGATTGGGCTAAAAATTTGTTTTGCGTTGAACCTAGTTCTTTCTGTACTATACATATTATACATATAACACCACCGCACCGAAATATCCTCGGTACTTTCTGATCTTTTTTTCATCGCCTTCTGTACAGTTATCTAGATTTTGGTGTTTTAACCTTCAAATGCTAAATCGATTTTTCATTTATTAGAAATAGTGGTAAACGAAATCGTTCTTTCTGTTTTAAATATTTCCCTGTTATATATTGTTTTATATTTTATGTTTATTGTCGATAGAGAATTAGAAGAACGTAGGAAGTGATGTAAGTACACGACGAATGTATACCTAACGTTTAACAGTGATTAATTTCAATTCAATCTCATTAGCATTTCAAGATTACGAATCATACCAAAATCACACGAATATTTCTTTTTCTTCTTCTTTTTTTTTTTTTTTTTTGTAAAGGCCAGCAGTTAACTTTGGCATTAACATATTTTGTATGCATCTAGATACCTTTTCTTTTAAATATATCCGATCACACAGAGCACACAATTCTCTTACGCTAATATGTACATACCATACAAAGCATCACAAGATTACATACATAAATTTATATACTTTTTCATAATAAAATATCCGATTCTCTATTATGCTACTTCACATGGAGAATGATCAGCTCCACGCGAGACATATCCCGCGCATCCAGTGTTCTGCGGTAATAATAAATACACGACACACACGGTACATCAATTTTTCGCGATTATTTCCGAGGGACGATACAATCCTCGTAATATGTTCTTTCTCTCGAGGCCAAATCTTCTCTGTCGGATCGCCGTTCCCACGAAACTAGAATTCTGTTTTGACGAAAGATTTGGCCGAATTAATCTGTCGAACACTTCTCCAATATTGATATGCTACTTATATTAACTGACTGTTCGTAACAATCGTTTCGGGCATTTTCTGTAATTACTTGATTAGTACTAACCCAATTTAACGTCGTTCCTTGATTTTCTTTTTTATGTATTTACAGCGAATCACACTATCCTTTATAAGAGCAGCTGAGTTTCATCGAAAAATGGATTTCTAATGATCGTCATCGATTATATTACATATTATAATGTAATTCGTTAATTTTTTCTTTTTTTACTGACTGTACAATTGACATTTACCGCTACAAAAATTTTGTATCAATAAAATAATCATGTAAATATCTTGTAACTTTATACTTGTATATATACAATAAACGTTAAACGGAATAAAAATCTTACGTACTCTAGCACAGGCCAAAATATTATTCTGTATTACTGATCGTATTTATAGCTACTCTTTCTTTTAATATAGAGCTTAGGGCTGACTCGTGAAATATGTTAAGTAGCGTTTCTCGTCAAATCTTCAGCATTCCGTTGAATTACTGTACTGGATGGATCAGGAATGGGGCTTGGGCATCACGTGGAGATAACTAACTGTCACTCCTTGTAATAAAGTATAGTATCATTTGGGAGACTAAAGTGTCAACGTTAATAGGCGTACGTCGTTAGCCCTTTTCTTCTTCCCGGAAAAATTCGATGGGTTAGCGACTACCCTAGGAACAACGTTGTTCTCTCCTCGCTATAATCTCTCTCTCTCTCTCTCTCTCTCTCGCTCTCTCTCTATTTATATATAATAAATCCAATCTGCACGCACTGCGTGTATAATAAATAAATACTTTCGAAAGTGCGTATAAATCGGTGTATAATGTGTTACATATAAACAATTCGGCTTTGTTTCGATTCATCGAAAGATTTCTTCCAGCGGACAAAAATCAGATAGTACGAACTTTGGTATGAGTTTAATACTTGTTGGCACTCCTACACGATTCAACTGATATTAGTGCAACTTTACAAGTTACAAAGTACAAACCATTGTGTAATATCATTAATAAACTCTCTTGTATTATATTAAGAAATTTGATAATAAAAGAAATGAAATGTTAAGAGTGAATTTTACAAATCATTTACGTTGTTCTCTCCTCGCTATAATCTATAATCTCTCTCTCTCTCTCTCTCTCTCTCGCTCTCTCTCTATTTATATATAATAAATCCAATCTGCACGCACTGCGTGTATAATAAATAAATACTTTCGAAAGTGCGTATAAATCGGTGTATAATGTGTTACATATAAACAATTCGGCTTTGTTTCGATTCATCGAAAGATTTCTTCCAGCGGACAAAAATCAGATAGTACGAACTTTGGTATGAGTTTAATACTTGTTGGCACTCCTACACGATTCAACTGATATTAGTGCAACTTTACAAGTTACAAAGTACAAACCATTGTGTAATATCATTAATAAACTCTCTTGTATTATATTAAGAAATTTGATAATAAAAGAAATGAAATGTTAAGAGTGAATTTTACAAATCATTTCCTATTTGACGAATAAATTGTAAAATTGTGGAATAATTTAGAATGTAGAGTCTAGAATGTAAATTGTCAAATGACTAATATTATTAGTTGGTAAATTATTGTGCAAGAGGCCTCGCAACTCGACAAAGTATCGGTCGATCCTTCGTCCGTTGAAGGATCATTGATTTTTAACCGATGAGAAGAATCTTTTGATGGGTACGACGGAAATGGGTCATTTTTGATCTGCGAATTATTATGTATATACCTAACTAAGTGGTAAATAAACGGTTACCTTTTGGATAGTAACAAACGTCTTACTTTTTTCTTAGACTATATCGTGTCACACGAAGATATCATGTATCGATGAGCACCATGAAAAACGTAAGTATTGTTACGAAATGTATGGATGATAATTTCGCGTCATTCGTGTCCCATTCCCGATAAACAAAGGGTTAACTTGTGTGACTGTCCAAATAATTTATGAGCCATCGATCAACGACATCTGCATTCTGTTTTACCCAATGTATATTGAACTTGATTGTTTCTAGGCTTTGTTCTAATGCTCCCCGACCACTTCCGACATCGACTTCCTTAAAGAATTCCGAAACCTAAGACGAAACGTCAAAAATACTTATTACAGGCTCGTATGGAAAGGATTATTAATTAAATATGGAATTTTTGAAAGTTTTAGCAATTGAATCGCCCTGAATATCGTACAAGAATATACGTGAACTTGCTTATTTTTATAGAATATACTTTAGGTACAGAATTACAGAAAGAAGAAGCCAGGATAATTTTATCCTTTATTAGAGCTATCGAGTATTTAACGATAAAATTTAAAATGATTCGCTTGCAAGTAATACAGCGATAAAATTAAAAATAATTCTTTTACAAGTGTTATTTGGAACATTATTAATAAAGTGTTTCATTATAAAATTGTGTTTAAGAAATGAAACAGTATATTTTTTACTTACCTCGTGGTAGTCGTATTCCGTGAAAAAGTCAGAAATTACAACAGATATAAGACTACCCATGGTCAGCGATCCATTTCCGAATAAAACATGTATCTGAGGCCAGTAAGCTTTGAGATGACGCCATGCAAGGAATTGACCCTCGGGATTGGTAGCGACAGAGGCTATAACAGTTTCAACGTCTTGTGATCTCACCATATCTCGATCTAACGATCGTAAAAGGTAACGTTGTAGCAACCAAGAATCTGTCGTCGCTCCTAACGCTTGCAACATTATTCGTTTCTCGCTTGGTACCTGAGTTTCTTGATAATTTTTCCAACAATGATTCCACTCTTTCTCACTACCAAATTTGATTCCTGTACAAAGAAAAATGTACGATGTAACGAATGATTGAATAAAATTTGATTCTTGTACAAAGAAGAATAAACGCAATGCAATGAATAAATATAATGAATTTATCTTATAGAATGAATTTATATATAATCTGAATATCAGTGAATCTGCAAATAAATAAATGAATCTACGAATGAACGTGGTGAACATATTGAATGTATGATAAAAATAATATTGTATCACCTGCAACGTATACGACGTCTCGTATATTTGGGGCAATTCGTTTGCCTCTTAACATCCAGTCTTCGAAAAGGTTTTTTGCTGGTTTTACAACATCGTCCAATTTTACTGATACAGCTGATTGAAGCACTGCAATCCTTAATAACCTGTGGAAAAGAAACGTAGCCAATTTAAATTTAAGATACTCGATGTACAAAAATTGTACAATTATTCTAATCTTCCTAATCTTAGAAACTTTGTCAGTTATAAAAATGACTTGTTGGTGTTCTAAAGTTAACAAAATTTTATATTTACTTTTTCAAATGTGATCCCTCGTCTGTCCAACCGACGTATTTGATAACTGGAGTTAACAAAAGCTTCAAGAATGTGATATATCTTTTATATCCGGGACTTTCGCTTAATCTATCTTTCCAAGAATGTAAATATCCCAGTGCAGTAGTCCATGGCACATAATCTCTCTCATTCAAAAGATAAAGAGATAATTCAAGAGGTACGGTAGCGTTCAACTCGCCTGTTTCGGAAAGCGTAAACGCATCATCAATAAGATTAGCACGGTCCGCTGGACTAAACTTGGTGTGATTATTCAATAATGTAGTGATGATTGATGCCCACATCTCTTCCGGGTAAGATACACGGTAAAATCCACTTTGATTCACATTGCATTTTATGTATTCCACGTCGGCAGGTATTTCGAACGTTACTGAAAATATGTAGTAATTTTGCATGAGGTCGAAGATATGGTTCAATTTATTATCAGATAACAAGTTCACTCGTATCAAGAAATACATTTTCCATGCATGAATTTGGATTATATTATATTACCTTTTAATTTAAAAAATGCACGAATGAAACTCACGTTATTCGAAAAATGAGATCTACGAAACGAATGAAATTGCCAGCTAATAATTCATAAAGCTCAATAATTGCAAAGCTATTCGAAAACCATATAAAATTATACGCAATTGATTTTTCTTAATTTTTTGTACTTTAGGATTCATTTATGAACCACTTTGATTTCTCAGCTTAATTTTTGAATTAGATAAAAAACACAGTCAACGAAGGTCATTTTATTTTTATCAAAAATCATAGTTGTCAATGTGTTCCTCTTCTTTTCTATCTAATATCGGTGGAAAATCAATAAAAATCGAAATTCAATAAATCTTCTATGTAGGAATTGTAATAAATTGAAAAAAAGATCAATTGGAAATAATTTTATATCGCCTTTGAACGGACTCCTTTAACGATTTCTCGCTTAATGCTGTTAAACATCTCTAAAAAAAAATGTTCGTTATAATTGTCCTATGTGTTACCATCGGTTAAATTCATCCATATGTTGTGAAGCTTGCGCGGTTCTTTGTCTGTGTAGTAGCTCAACGGGACATACCACTTGTAGTCAAAGGGCGATTTTGATTCTTGCAGTTCTGTATCATTTTCTTTTGGCGAAATTAGAAATCTCTTCTGAGTTGCTGTGATGGTATTCCCATTACGTGTGATCGTAATCAGAGGAAAACCCATTTGTTGGGTCCATGTATCCATAATAGCCTGCCGACACATTGTATTTCATGGAACAACCAGAAATTATAAGTTTTTAAAATTAATCTTTCAAACTTATACCTACTTTTACGTCAAAAGTATTATTTGTATGTTTTGTAAAGACCGCCCAGAGGTCGTTCGTGTCCGCATTTCCATACGCGTGCGAATTCAGATAGTCGTTCAATCCACTTTTCAGAACATCCTCGCACAGAAACCCCTCAAGCATATTGAGTATGGAGGCGCCCTTACTATAACTGATATCATCGAATATAGCTTCGATTTCATTTGGATCTTTAACCGGCACGCTTATGGGATGGCTGCTTGCCAAAGCATCGAGATCAAGCGCTGGTTGAGTTTTGTCTAAAATAAACTGATCCATCATGCTCCACTCAGGTGAGATATGATTCACTCCTTTGTATTCGAAGAAACTGGCCGCTCCTTCGTTTAACCATAAATCGTTCCACCATTTCATAGTGACGAGATTACCAAACCATTGATGAGCTAATTCATGAGCGACAACTATAGCGACCCACTCGTGAGCATTGGTTGATGTCTCTTGTGGATCATAAAGTATTGATGTTTCTCGGTACGTGATTAGGCCCCAGTTTTCCATTGCACCAGCGGCAAAGTCAGGAATAGCTATTAAGTCTATCAGAAATTAATAAAATTTATATGTTAAAAACTGATATAGGATATATAAGGTGTTTCAAGTATTTTCAGTCATATTTTGTCAGTATATCCTATGAATAGAAATAAGAAAAGAATGTTATAATATTAAAATAGAAATGTTATTAGATGAAAGCTGTACTTTAAAATATAACGGAGTTTCTTAGCTTAATTGCAAAACATTGTTTTCTTATTCATAGTCATACAATGTACTAGAAATGTCTGTTCAGAAAAACCTGGTACACCATGAATAAGAAACTTTCTGTTTCACCAATGAAATTATTATCGAGTGTATTTACAATTACTTTTATATTCTGTTTTGATTACGTACCTTGTTTAGGCAATGGATAACGTACTCCGAAAAAAGATTCAAAGTAATCCATTGTACGAGCAGCTGTAGTTACCGCATATTTTGCCTGTGGAAGCATCGTCTCTGCTGCATAAACACTCACGGAAATATTCCTTTTAGTCAATTCAGAGACTCGTTTGAAGTCACAAACCACGAAAGCTACCAGGTACGTCGACATTTCTACAGATTCTTGAAAATCATCGCGAAGCTGAAAATTTTTGCAATAAATGTTGTTATTTACGTACATATAGTACAATTATAATAACATAAATTATAGACTGTACTATATAGTATTCGTTTTTCTTCCAGTATTTTGTGTACTATACATTTTAACTAAGAAGCTTTGTAAAATTATAGTACGTTTAGCAACGTACAACAATGTTTTGTAAATCAGATATGTAAAACAAGAAATAACAATAATGATATATGGTTTCAAATATTTCATGATGAAGAAACCAATAATGATATATCATAATATAACATTAATTTAATAAAATAATTTAACAAGAACATAACTTCACTAGTTTCGTACTCACCAGTCCGGTGCCCATGTAAAATCCAGCATCCTCGGTGTTCATCACAGGCATATTGCATAGCGCGATATGAAATCTGTCCCTAAATATCGAAACCTTAAATTTAGCCTTAAATTGTGGCTCGTCAAAGCATGGGAATGCCGAGCGTGCATACGTAGGTTCGAAATGAGTCGTGGCGAGGTACCTATAGTCGAAAAAATAATTCAGTTACGATCTCGTTCAAAATGAAGATACGCCTTGAGCAATTTCCCAAACAGAAAATTATTACAGTTTCAGAGTGACCTCTTTTCTCCTTCTGGGGTGACATAGCTGCTAAGATAAAATCCTTCGAGTTCACTCGTCAATTTCGAGATAAACCTTAAGTGTACTGTGTAATTCCCTCTCTTCCGAAATTTACTCTCTTCCAGTTCTAAATACAACTGTTGATGTTTCGGATATTCCAGTAACTTTGCAATTTTTAATCTGTGGCCTTTACGGTCCTGAATCATCTAAAAATCAGTTTTTAGCAGTTAGAAAGTAGATAGAACATGATACTGATGTATGTACAGTGGCTCATAATAACGTATGTTAATGAAATTTACATAAATATACATAATATATTAATAAAATATGTCTGTAAGTGTACGAATACTTCGAGCCACTGTACACGCATATTATTTTAAATACTCACTTTCTCATTTATTGTCAAATTTTTACTATGGAAGACGATATAGTTGGTCTCTTTATCGACATAGAATTCGATTGTGACCTGTCCTGCAAATGGAAATTAAAAATTATTTTTTTCTTCGTTCTTAAATATTTTAGTGCACAGCATTACGGAAACATTACTTTTTTACTTCAGAAATTAATTTCTTAATTTTAAAGATACTGTAAGATTTCTGTCTTAAATGTCTTTCTACATATTTATAATAAATAGCGTTTTGGAAAAGCTTGATAAATTAAAAACAAATTCTTTCGCAATAAAAATGTAATAATCGATATTCTCGAACGTTAGCTAACAACTAATTAACGATATACTACTTACCTTTTACTTCTAAGGTGGTAAGATTTGGATGGATAGTGATATTGTACCTAGTAGGATGCACAAACGTAGGTAGCCTCACGTTATTCCAAGGAAACACCTGTAACAGTTCCATTCAATTAAATTATTTTTAGACCGTTAGTTGAGCGAGCTACTGCAATTGCATACATTTTTTATCTTCGATGCTAAAGATATACTATTTATGTAACTGCTAGTAAAATATGAATGATCAACAATAAAATTGATCAAATAACCAGCAATTCTAGATTATGATACTTTAGACTCTAGGGTATGGAAATTTATAGTACTATAGACGTCTTGCAATTGATTTCCCGCCAAGACGTTTTATAGCTCGTTCACAGTAAGCTTCAAGCAAAGGCTCAGGCACAAGCATTGAAATGTGACATACAAAAGAACACACTTTGCATACACATATACGTACATGGCATACCTATATATTTTGCATTTCTATACGTCCTAATTTTTTCTTTTTACGTACCGCGGCATAGAAAGGTTTCAGGTCAGATAGATTTTTCTCTTTATGTTCCAAGAGTAATATCTTAAACAACTGTGTTTTGTATTAAAAACTGCATCATTTTTGTAATGAAAACTAGTAATTGTTATTTTCTTATTTTATAATATACAGAATATAATATATGATTCTTCAAATTTTTGTGGAAGATTAAAATGAATACTACGACTTGTATCTATACAAAAACATGAAATTAAAATTCTTTAATGTACTTATTACGATATAATCCTTTAAATATTCTAATATTTTATACATAATTAAATATCTTAATAATTTAATATGTAATTAAATATATTTTTATAAAAATTTAATGTAATATATTTGAAATCATATGGCATGTATGAATAACATTGACGAATCTACATTATTCATTGTACCATTTGAGAACTTGAGTACATACGGTCGTTATTACTTGTGCATTATGTCTAGAATATGTGTTACGAAGTATATGTTTTGTTCCACTTCGATCGTATAACCAGCAGAGCAAACACAAATAACCATACCTCTCCATTAGTTGCAAGAGGCTCGCTACTTTTTTCATCGTCTTCGATTTCCAGATTGGGTGGCTTCTCTCCAGCACAAGGGCAGTCTATTAAAAAACGAAAAGGAGAAACCAATAACAAGCATCGAGTAATACAGAAACAAAATTGAAATGTTATTTACATTAAGGGAACGTTACATTACCATTTTGTGGTCCCGCGAAGGCAATGATGAGTGATATGGAGAAAAGGATCGCAAAAACAACGGTAGCTACGCAGAGAGCCCTTTTTTGAGAACACACAATTCCATTGTGCTCATAAATACTACGTTTGTGCAATCCTGTGTTACTGTCTCCTGGAACAAAGAGTCTCCTGAAGAATGATCAAGTGTCCATACGCACCCTATTCTAAAGCACGAGAAACGCGTTGAATTTGTTTTGGCAATATTACGTATGTTGTCTATAACATCGAATGAAATATATATATCAAGAGGTACGAATATTATTGAACATTGAAAAAGTAGGTGAAACGTATAAGTTCCCAAACGTGAAATGTCCACTAACGTGAGAAACAAGTTTCCTGTCCTCGGTTACACACTTGACCTAGATTTTTGACTGCCGAGCGACAGTCCACAGTGACGTTAATGCAGTTACTCCAACAAAATACGTGAAATGCTGTGTATATATCTTATCATCGAATGACAGCTCTATAACATCCAATCAATTTAAATTCAATTTGGATGGATTGGTAAGAATGGCGCCATTACAATATAGTACGCTGAATACGCATAATTTTAAGAGACGTATGCTTAAAGCTTCCTTCAACGCAAGCGAAGTATAAAGTAAACAAAAGTTAATATCAACGTATATAGAATTCTGAGACAATTTTGCTCGAAAAGTTCACGTCATTTGAATAAAGTGGCTTGTTCTATACGATACATGTTGCAACATATTGTATGGTTCTGTGTCAGACAGATGTGTTTACGCACTTTGCAAGTGGTTCTATTTGTTGTCACAGGCAGGATGATAATTAGTTAATCGGCCGACAAGAAGATACATATACATAAACGCGTGAGGCTAGCCGGGTTGCGTGTTTTAATTTGAAAGATCAGAAGCTTGTCTCTTATTGATCGCACGCACGTGCTTCTCGTATAGTCTATTCGTAGCCCGGAGGGTCGTAAGTGGGCCATCTGGTCGAACGATTTCAAAGGAAAAGGAGAGAACCGCGTGTGAAGAAAAGAGAGGGAAAAAGAAGCAAAGGAAAAGAAGGACGAGGAAATGAAGGAGAACCGTGAAAAGGAAGGGAGGTCAAGGGGCAAACAGAGCTGTCAGAAGTGGTAGGAGCTGCCCCTGGTATGAGATTGCAACGGGAACGAAACTAGAGCCTGAGCTTCACTCGAGAAAATCCACAAAAATTCTCGAATGCCTGTTCTGACGTGTCTCACCTGTCAGAAAGGCAACGTCATCCACATCTTGTTCGCTCATCGTGAACCGATTTGGCGGCGGTCTCCGACGAACGATTTCTTTTACCTGACCGTCGTTCGTAGCATATAAGATTTTGATCAAGGGCTCTCTCTGTTCAGCCAGAATTCGGGCGGTCGTACTCGTAGCTTGCCTGCTTCGCCTAGTAGTTACTTTCGTTGATACACCGTCGGTTCGAGTGTCAAGGTCAAGGAATCACCGAGGAAGACTGGCAGATTTACCTACTGGTTCACTGGGGGCTTGCGGTTACTTTAGGCTCAACCTTCTTTCCTTGTTCTCGTTCCGTTTTTCTTTTCCTTTTTCTTTCTTAATCGTTTGTCGTGCGTCTAGTTCAAAGCTTAATCGGCAGAGTTAATTGCTCGAGTAGATCGACTCGAAATTCCTGAAGTAGCAAGCACGGGCACGAGCACGAGCACGAGTTGAAGAAGCACGGGCACGGGCACGGGTACGAAGACGAGGAACTTCACAAACGCAATCATGAACACGACCGTGAGCAGAGGCACGTACACGAGCACGATTACGAGCACGAGCACGAGTACAAACAGAAGCCCGAGTAGAAGCGCGACCAACGAGGTCCCGAGGACCCGCGACAACGTGACGCTTACGAAGTCACCGAACAGCTCGACAACGTCGGCGAGTCTATAACGCGCAACGTGCCTTGACATTTCATTGGTATTAAAACGTGAATATAGCGACTGCGGAGTTAGACAGAAATGGCGACTTTCCAAACCCCTTGGTGGCGGATCGCTTTACGGGGGTGAATTTGCAGCTCTCGCCACGCCGCACCTCGCTTCGCCTAGAGTTGCAGCGGGGGTGGTTGGTTGCTTTTACTGTGGCGCCATCCGTGACCCACCCTTCACAGTGATTCCTACCCTACTTGCCATTTTACTTCCACGCTTGGGTTGGTAAGAAGATTCTCTACCATTTTTGGTATTTCCCTCTGCTTTCCTTTAAGGTTTCAATACTCCGCGACTCGTATTTTAGCGCTAAACATTTTCGCGAAATTATGTTATTTCATTCATTTCGTTGTTAAAATATCCCTGTTAAAATCATCATTTTGTTGTACCTATGTTACGTTAATGTTAGAAATATTAACTATGCAATTATAGACAAAAAGAAAAAATTTAATTCTTTGCGAAATATTGTATTTCTTTTCTATAATCGTACACTTAACATTTGTACTCTTAACGATGAACGAATAACATTCTAATATTGCGCATATATTCTATTGACGCATTATTTAGCGACGAAACGATTTAAATGATATAATTTTATGAATATTCTTTGTTTGAAAATTAATTTATACGATATTAACGAAAATATTCATAGGTAATAAATTCTTGTGTAGAAAATGGATTTTCATTTTAGTTCGCTACTAACACGATTACTTTACAAAGCTATTGAACGGTATATGAAGTATTGGCATTTTAAACATTCGATACGAGAACTCTCGTTTTTGCATACGATAGAAAGACCGACAGTGCACACAACCGCCATGCATATTCAATATGTGTTTTGCATTGTCATCGTTCTAGACCTAATAAAATAAGTTTTATCTTAATCGCTATATTATAGTTTGCATCGAGCGTGCTATGTCGTTTAATAATATTAAGATTTAGAACGTAATAAGACACTACAATTTATTTTACTTTAAGTATTTTAGAATTCTAAAATTAATCATTTCTATAAATCTAAGATAATGAAATTAATTAATATGGGAAAAATTTCGTATAAGTATATGTATAATGCGATTAAAGTTTTACTTGAAGAAACGTATATTTCATATACACACCATTCGTATATTTACACGTAGTAAGTATTTTTTGTCTTCTATCCATTCTAATTATCTGTATTATTCCGAGCACGTTTATATTCCCGATAGCATTGACATGAATTCCACAGAGACACTAAACATGATGTCTGTGTTACTTTATTTATGGCTATGATTTTAGAAATATCACAAAATTAGAAAGAATCCTTCATAAATTTGTTGTTAAATAATTATATGTGTATAATATTATAATTATATACAGAATTTCTGTTTAGTCAATAGTTAAGTAATTCTTTAGGCAAAACCAAATAAGAAGCGAAGACTGAAATATTTTTACGTTACAATGATTAATTAGTCGAGTCCCCTAATAATGCTAATGAAATCTCAAAATGTTTCGCACAGCATATACAATATATTCATAAAACGTGTCTACAGATATCTAGATTCCATACGATCGTTATAACAGAGTTCGTCTAGAAAGCTATTCGAGTTGGAACGATGGAAGCTGACATTATCAAGAAATGAACGCGAAATCAGCATAAGAATATACGAGAAAAAAATTGGAACACGTCAATGCAATGCAAGCACGGAATAAAATCCTGTCCTTGCATTAGCGATTATCGAGCTATCGAGGACCTCTTAGAAGTTTTCAGTTCATAGTATGAATGAGGGTACTCGAACCGTTCGGATTGTCGAAGTTCAATATCCTTGACGGACAAAGTCTCCGCTGAATGCTGGCAATGGCATTCAAACTAGAGAAAGGGGCAACATTTCCGTTTCTTGTCTGGCTTTTGACCTGCGAATGAAGTTTTAGGGATACGGGGAACGGTTCTTGTGTGAAACAGATCGATATCGCTACAACATTTGTTGCCAATTCTGAGAAATCGGTGTGTATATAAAAATAAATTATTTGGAATCTATAGCTGAATATAAAAAACAAAGCTAACTGACCGATTCATCAACGCCAAGCCCACACCGTTGTACGTGGAAACGTGAAATTTGGATAGTATACTTCTTTTTAGACGTTGCGATAAGGTCGAATTTTTGGAAATACAAACCCTGAAGGGGTAGAAAGGAGGTCAAATTTTTTTTTTAAAGGACATTCATATTTCACGAATTGCTAATATTGCAGACGCGAAATTTAACATTTCGAGCTCCTCATTAAAAATAAATAAACGTATTTGAGCATATTTCAAAATTCAACCACGTTAGGGGTGAAAAGGGGAGTAAGTTGTTTTCTCAAAGGGTAACCGTAACCCTATATTCGCTAAAGCTGGAAATTTGAGGCTCGGCAAATGAACTGCTCGTTAAAAATGAACACGCTCGTGTCTCATGGTCTTTCGAAATTCAACTCCTAAAGGGATGAAAAAGGGGCAAATCGATTTTTCAAAGGATGGGCGAATCTCTAAATCCACTAAAGTTGTGTTAAATGTGAAATTCAGAGAATAGATTCCTCAAGAAAGTCCACGTGTGGTAATTTGTTAAAATTCAATGTTAAAAGATATAAAAATAATATTCGCTTAAAATCTTGTCGTTTGAAAAGGAATTTGTCATAAATCTAGTAGTTCATTGTTAAATTGTAGATTTTTACGTATTTGTGATAAAAAAGATATAAAAATGTACGGATTATATAAATGTATAAACATATATAAGATATCTGTATGAAATATTTTTTCAAAATTCATAACAATATATATTTACAGGTAGCAAAAACTGTTATCATAATCGAATTTGTTCAACTTCAACGTTTTTAAACATTGCGTGCGTTTGAAAGATTTTGCCTCCTGATTTAAAATTAATCTTTGAATCAATAATTTGATTATTACGTAATAATAGTAACCGTGGTTAATTATACGTTAAACTGTATTATTCTTTATCGTGGTTTTTAGATATACATAAAAAACCACAGTTACATATATGTAGACATGGGTTAGATTAGGTTTGCGTTCAATATGTAACGAATTATAAGGTCAATTAAGCAAGGTGTGTTATGGGACGATAAAAGGAGTATTTTATATAATATACACATGCTCAATCTTATGTTCTTTTTTTAAAATGAAGGTTTAAAAGTACGGGCCTTTAACACCTGCCAACAAATAATTTTCTATCTTTTAGATAATAATGTTTCTACCGAATTGTTTCTACAGAATTTCTATAAAAATTTAGATTGTGCAATGCATGATATGACAACTATCAATGTTATTTCGATTTCGTATTTAATTTCGGTCAGTATCTCATAACATCAGCTACAATATCTTTGTGAATGCGTCAAATAATCATATTACATTTTACAGTAATGTTAATACTTTAAACCTAAATTATCTAATTATTTAGAATGTCATATAGGAAGGAATGTAATATTTATATTGCAATGTAATTGAATTAACATGTATCTTAAATAATCATTAATAAATAATATATAAACAATAATAAAGACCTCTTTAACGTATTCTTAAATCATTATGTCAATACTTCAATTAATTTGAAAGACACAGTTCAAAGGAAATGATCAATCTTTTCTCATTTCTGATTACTTTCTAAAAAAATTTCCGGTAACAAGTCATTGCTCGTCGCAAAGACGTGCCGCTGATAAAGTGTTAATTGCAGAACACTATTACATTTTTATCTTCATTGAATAAAAAAAAGATTATTTTGATATAACTACATACATCGCCTATATAAAAAAAATATCTGGCCACGAACTAATACCAAATTCACGGTCTCTACGGTGCTCCTGAATCTTTTACAACATTGCACTACTTGTAGGCTCACTCGTAGCTTTAACTCGTGAGGAAATGTATATTTCTAAGTCTCAAATGTACGAGAGTCATCAATATTAGAATGATTTGTATCAAAAGCTGGGTAACTTTTTAAGGCGGAAACAAACCTACATAAATACGTTAAAATAAAACAGGTCACAAGTTCAAAAGTTCAGACATCTATAAACGCTGTGATTCTATCGATATTGATCAGATTTGGAAACGGTGTTCACTAGAATAGTACATAAACTCGACCAACTTAAATATATTTTCATGGTTACTAGTTACTACTTGATTGTAAAAATTATTCTTGGATCATAATCGGATTGTTTTCATATAAAGAATCATCACTTTACACGATAATAAAGTTTTATATATACGATAAAGATCTTTAGATTCTTATCAGGTACACAAACTTTATGAAACATAAACGTTTAATAAAATAGCAATTCTGAATCTTTCCTGATTAAACCCGTTTTTTCATTTTGTGTTAAAACAACTTGATAAACACTTTGATCATAATCTATTATAGGTGTTGCATTTTTAACGATGGCAATTATTATTGTTACAAGTCAGAATTTTGTCGATCCATGAAAAGATGGTATCTAAAGAATATAAGGTCATGAATAATAGTGATATGTGCTTTGAAACCAGTAATTACGCTTAATACATATGCTTTTCAAGCTTTGTGCAAAATAAAACACACACAGCGTGACCGTATTTCAAACATAAAAAAATGTACCTTTTGTGTTAATTTAAATTTTTTAAAATCCATTCCAAGCTAACTTCTATACATCATGATAAGAAAGTATAGAGAAAATCAATCTCTAGTTCTAATTGTTAAACACATTTGGATGGAAATATAAGTTTTCAAATTATGAAAAGAAATTGCATATTCAGCGCAGATTCGTTGCGTATAAAACTTGTTTTTTTCCGCAAGGGAACAATTTTATTTACTACGGTTGTAGAATACCGCCGAGACCATTTTTGTTTCCCCAGTGTTAATGAAATTTCAGGTTAAGAGTCCGTACGAGGTTGGCAGTAAGTTAACTCATTAAAGGGAGTAGAAAACGTGCTTTCTCGGTGCAAGTGGATTTTTACTCACCTGAATTTATCGGCACCTCGGTGGTGGTGTTAGCGGTTCCGTTTTGCCCGGGACTTCGCGAACTCGAGGTTCTACCTAAAGGCTCCATCCGGATCGCCTCGCTGCTTTCTCGCGTCGAAGTTCCCCCTGGCATTTTGCTTTTCTCCCTCTGCCTGCCTTTTTATCCAGTAAGCTCGCACTGTGTGCAGTTTCAAGCGGAAGATGCACGCTTCCTTGGCTCCCTATTTCTCGTGACTCGATGCGAATTACATTCTTCAACGTTGATGCTTTTAGAGAACGATGCACTTTTGTATTTCTCTTTTGCATCCGTGTCAACGGATCGAGGAATTTTCATGCGAACTATGTAACTCTCATTCGTTTTTACTCTAAACATTCGTCACTTCTTTTTCACGATGCATTTGATCGATCTATATTTAACACGAGTCGATAGTTTTCGTAACGTATTTTTATTATTTTATCTATTCGTCGTGTGCAGACGGATGTCACTCAAGGCGAAGAATTTGCTATACATTGGTCCCCGACACAAAGCGTTGGAAAATGTCATCGAGAAAAAGATTTGTAGCTGTTACAAAACGATAGTTTCGCGTATAAATTTCGTACAAATATTCGTGGTTTATAAAAGGAGTAGTCTATTGATCGTTTTAGTTAAATTTGAACCCTTAGTCGGGCAGTGCACGTGGATCTAATCAATGATTGTTTTTACACTAATTACTTTCGTAACTATTGGATGATATTGTATTATAGTTCTACGTGTCTTTCTATTTTAATGATAAAGTTCACTAGTTTTTGTAAAACTGTATGCGTGATATAAAGCTGCACTATATGTGTGCGAAGACTGGTCATATTTTAAACAAATACAACAAGCAGTCATTAAAATTGCAAATTAAAAGAGATTATTATATTAAATATACGTATTAACTTTGTAAACAGTTAACTGGCTGGTTTTCGTTTGATTGCTTGCTAACGATGGATTAATAATTTCCTTGTAAAGTTGTGCAATATTTCCTTAGTGTATCGCTAGACATGGTATCTGAAACAAAGTACGAAACATATATACAATATTTTTATACGTTGTATTTTAAATTATTTTTATAAATTATTCTCATCCTTCTCTCGAAGATATTCTCTAAATATATACAACATGTTGTTCGTAAACCCATGCATTGTTAACTACTAATATACGCATAATATGAATATGATTAATAAGTAATATTAAGTGTAACAATATCATAATCAATTTTGGCAGATATTTCTTATTCAAAGTGTTTAAACTGTCAAAAACATTGTTTTTTAAAAAATAATCATCGTTTTGTATAATATATAAAATATAACATATCTTCATATTGTATCCTTGAAGAACATACTTTATTATCTCTACATAATCCAAGATTCGACCTAAGACATTATTATTAATTTATACACGCGTCTTAAGAGTTTAAGAATCGATTAAATTTTTATAATGCACCATATATTATTTGTTCGTTTTATGTAGATAATAGGCCAGCGTTGTTTGGTTATTATTGACTTAATCAGGCTTATAATTATAATACATGGCCGATATAATAGGTCAGTGCGATCGTACGTTTCACACTCAACGCATATTTTATAAAGTTATTTTTATAGCCACAACAAAGCTGCCAATTATATGCATCATTGTCTTCGCTGTTTTTCACGTCCTCTTGTTTAGGTGTTCGTTGAGGTGTATTTAAAAAAAAAATATATATATATATACGGCGGGAAATTGTTCATACAACAGACACTAGATTGTCCTGTAGAACTTTCATTTTAAACGAAGGTTTTACCCGAGACGTTGTAATTAGAGTTGTCGAGGATAAGAGGACCGCTAGAATCACGAACGACACTTTCTTTCCATTTCGGTAGCAGGTAATTATGCATTTACCGAGTTGGGTGCTAATTCATCTCCATTATCGTCGTCTCTCGTTTACACGTACGAATTGTTTCTCTTTCACTTCAGACACGCTACGTGTCTCTCAATTTCATTAATTATATAATTACACATGTCCTACTCTAGTCAAGGTAAGTGAGTATTGTTGAAAATATCATCGATATTAGGATGTAAGTGAAAGTTAAATGATTCAGTGATAAATGTTACATATAGAGATCCATGATTTAATCGGTATAATACAAGTTTGTACTTGGTAAATTTGTAGATGATCTTTTTTATGCACTAATGAAATTGCAAGAAAATCAAGCATAATAGTATGAAATTTATTTAATACAGATTATTTAGTATTTCCTAATTATTCTGTTAAGAGATACACACATATATATATATTTATAATCTTTTAATAAAAAGGAATCAATTTAATCATGGCTACAGGATTCACATCCATGAAAAATTAAATTCATTATATTAGAAATTCCTTATTGATTTCCCGTAATCTCGATGAACAGATTACGAAGTCTTTATACACGCTGATCTCTCATGAGTATTAATTTCCTGGTAAACTCTTTCCCTTAAAGTTCCTCACGAATTCCAGCCACGTCTCTTCCTTCTTTTATCTTACATCTATATATACATTTACTAATTTTTTAGTGTAACAATTTATATCTTATCAGATACACAGCTGGTGGAAAAATTAAAATGTTTTCAAAGCGTAAATAAAGTCGATCATATTTGATGGATTACTCGCAATTTAGAAACTCTTTTATTTATTTGTCCCAATTAGAAAGGAAATAACAACTGAAGGTTCAAAAATTCAAGTATGCTTTTAAAGTTATCTTAACATTGCTATTTTATAGACATCATCATTTTTCTTCGAGTTAAAGCAATTGATCGACATATGTACTTATATTAGTTATCGAATATTTAAAGAACTCTAATGGGGAAACACAAGGGAATTTTTACGTACAGTGGAAATTCGTCTTTTGTTTTGTTAGCTTATACAGAATCGAAACAATTATGCGTTATAGTTCGTAGTTATAGAACTTTCATACATATAAGTCTGACTATTTCTGCAGTCAACCTCGTTTGCAAATATCTTAATAACACTTTATATGCACAACCTTACGTAATAAGTGATATGCATGTGCAAGCTACTGAAGGTTACGCGAAAATTGTCTGTAATTTCAGAATATTTTCTACACTGAAACAGAGTTTATTTCTACGACAGTAGATGGATTATTTTCTTAAAACCAAACGTGTTATGCAAGATGCATGAATTATAAATACCTATATCAGATTTAGATACTCTTGCTATTATGTCTCCTTAAGTTTATTTAGTAGAAATAGAATTAGCAAATTTCTTGGTGAATTGCTACAAATAAGTGAAAAAGCAAAGTATAATTATTTGTTTTCAGTAATAACTCAGTCATAACTGAGTCATAAATTATGATAATACTAAGAAATATTGCTTTACACGTAGATTTTTATAGATTGAAATTTATAGACAACATTTTTATCAAGTAACACAATGATCACAACAGTAATGCAAGTATCTAAAAATTGATTACGAGTTGATTAACGAATGTGAATTTCTAATGTGAACACATTTAATACGATTAGTATCATACCAACAACGGAAGCTTTGTAGAACGTCCGAGGAGTCTCTCAGATTTTTCTAGTTTTTTCTATAATTCTGAGAAACCAGCGTACGAAACGAACTAGTCGGCGTGTTCTCTTATTCAGCGAGTGAATTTTCAACAGAGAGAGAAACAGTATGCAACTTTTTGTTTCATCCTACTTCCGTCTGCTACACAGGTAACAGCATTCGTGTGCGCGTCTAATACACGGACGCCGTACCTCGTGATAGAACGTTGACCCTGCCCATTTTCGCGGTCGAGAAATCCCTCCAAACAAACGAAGCTAATATAACATACAAAGACCTCTCTGTGACTCCTCACTATCCTTAACGTCTCTCAATTATTCGGTGCTCAGTCTAACCAAAAACCAAACCGAATAACGATAACACAAAACGCTGGAAATATTCACTCTCAAAGAATTACACCGAGGTTTAAAGGACCTTAAGATCTAAATAAAGTATGAAATGTGCAGGACTAACCTTCTGCAGGCGAGAGAAAACGCGAACACCGAGGAGAAGGATTTCCCTCGTCGAGGAAGAAATCCAGCTGGTCGATTCCATGGGGAACCGATCAATATTCTCGAGATTCGTCGATTTCGTTTTCTCGATACCAGTGGCGTATGTGAACACGATGAACCGGCACCTCACCGTGAGACTATCGAAACATTGTACCGGAAGGGTATATTTACGTACGCGGCGGGTCGAGCGGTTCGAGCGAGAAGAAAAAGGCGCGGCGTGTCTGTGCTCGATTCGGCACCAGTTCGCAACTGTACGAGCCACGATTGCATCGCCGAATGATTTAAGCTTCGCACAGGCTGTATGGTAGAGACAGGGCTTCTTTCGTTACGAGAACAGCCACCATCGTCACATGTATGCAGTCGAACGGTGAGAATGGCACTGAAGGGAGTTTGAGAGTCGAGCGTGGCTAAATTTCCGGACGCAGGGAGGCGCGGCGGTCAGGATCAGCCACAGGTTGCGCCCGTCTCGTTCACGCAGGCCGGGCATCTTGGCTGATCGCAAAGCGGGGAGGACACCCTCTCTGGCGAAGCGACAGAAAGAGAAATCGATTAACTTAACATCCAGTAGTATACGTTCTTTCTCGACGTCCGCGGCTCGTGCGTTACGATTTCGATCGCTTTCCGACTAGACTTTCGTGCTAACGTATTGTACGATAGTCGCTCGATATATGCACGTACGTACAGTACATGGGAATGAGACCGGAAATCTTCGTCACGGTTTTATGTTCCTTGCCAGTTTGAATTTTAAATAATTCCGATTCGATCGATCGAGTGGAGATTCTGAAAATATACGTGAAAGTATTTGAACACTTGGCATAGAAAAGTTTGGGTCATGACGAATAGGATGCAGATCTGCTGCTCTCTTGTTCACCAGTTTCGAAGCCAGTGAATTTCTTATTTTGTGCAATCGTAAAAGGAATTGTTGAATAATTTCCAGTGGTTGGATTACATCCGTTGGGCAATTTACACATCGGGTTGAATATCGTTTTTATCGAACAAAGTCAATGCGTAATGTTGGGAAGAAATTTGAACGGAATGTAGAAATGCGAATTTGAAATTGTCTAAATAGCGAGAGAGAAAGAAAGAAAGAAAGAAAGAAAGGAAGGAAGGAAGGAACATATAGAGGGTGTCTCAGGTAAATGGGATCACTTAAATATCTGCCTTATTTACAATTGTGGAAAGAATTTTTTCTTAAGATGATTTTTCCACGAGATTTCATTTGTATTTTTAAATCGAATTCTATATATCTTTATCCATCAATCGATAGGTTTCTTTAATACACTATATGAAAGTATTAAGCAGCAGTTTTCGTGTAATAATAACAAAGGCAAATCATTTTTATGAATCGTTTTAGACTACCTATTTGCTATATGTGATTAAATCTTTTTAAAATATAAATATAGTCTTGAAATAGAAATGTAATTTTTGTTATTTCCATTTTTCTTATTGTTTATCAACTTTCTAAACAGCCATGATTAATAACATTTTGAACTGACGTGCACGATAATTAAAAAGCTAATTAATCGATTAATCATTCTCAGACAAAGTACGCTTTGTTACAAACTTCTCCAGAGATTGAACCTCAAATTTCTAGTTGATTATTTGTTTATAATATTCTTTTAAATAATATAAATTCAATTCATTTGCCAGAGAAAGTAAATTATTCTTCCAAACGTTAAAACTTTTCAATTTTTCATGCTTTCACTTCGAATCGTTTCGTTTTTCGTTCAATCTCAGCGTAAACTGTCTAACTTCAAGAAAATTTCGCAACTTTTGCATTCTAATGACTGTGACAAATGCTATGCTGCACGCAAACAATGAATTACTGAACTGAATTACGTTTGTGCTTCAAAATTATCTATTTATATTACAATAAGATCTAGTTCCATACAACCATTAGTTAATCTAAAATAAATTTATAAAAATCACTTGCTTTTATTGTTGTTACACGAAAATCTGCTCTTAAACTATTTATGTTTGAAAATGTTTAGTGTAAAAAATATTTTAACATTAATTTTCTGGAATTTGGCCTATGAGAGACAAAGAAAGACGCAAAGTTATACTCTGGTGTACTTCATATACAACATTTGATGAGATCAAAATTGAAATATCTTTTAAACTATGCACTTTTCGATATAAGTACTCTAATACTCTTGTGCAGAGAATAAAAAATCTCATCCACTGCTGTAAAAAAAATATATATGCACCTTAGAAAAGATCGATGGCCTTGAAATGTCATTAAAAAATGATCTTGAGAAAATATTCTTTCCACCGTTATATATTAACCCTTAAAACAGTTTAACTTTGTTCTGAGAAAATATTTCGTACAATTATAAATAAGGCAGTTATTTAAGTGATCTCATTTAGCTGATGATAAGATACCCGGTACAATGACAAATCTAAGGTATCTGCGTGCAACGATAGATGGTATTTTCCCTGGCTTCAAAATGCAAGCACATTACAAATAAAGCGAGTTCGAAAATTAATGAAATTTTAATCTTCTTTTTGTAAGAGAACGGTTGAGTTGCAATACATGGTTTCTTTGAGACCTTTCGTCCTCATGGACAACAGAGTACGATGCAATAAAAGAAATTCGACCTTGAATTTCAAGGACAAGATGATTAGAGTCACGCAGTCGCGACACGTAATTTCCTCGAACACCACACTGTTTCGTCAGATTAATAGAAAAAACGACTTTTTATTAATATTTCATTAAAAGATACTTGTAAAAATTTGCAAGACAGTAATAACATAAATGACCACTTTCACATGTAACAAATGTTTATATTCTACTGTAGTATCTTTTTTAATTTGTTTTGCATATAATTTTATATAATTCTATATAGCAATAAAGTAATATGGAAAGCTGAGAAATATAATAATATAAGTTAGGCCATTGATATTTTTCATAAAATAAGAATTCTCTTTTATTGTTATAAAGCATTCTCTCTCTCTCTCTCTCTCGCACATTCACCCACTTAATATATCTTTTAAAATTATAAATACATTTCGTAATATTTACTATTTTTGATCAATTAATTTAACTTGTTACTTTTTATAATTAAAATACATTATCAAACTCGAATGCAAAATTCAAGACAAACCATTATGAGTCTTAGCTTACTATACAATAATGTACTTATATGGCACATTATCAAAATTGTTATCAAGAGCGTAATATTTTAATTAAGTTTAAGCTTTTTCTTACGAGAAAATATTGTTCGTTTCTATACGAATATTTCGACATTTTTATTACAGCCAAAGTATTATTCTTACTAGTCAGAAATAAAAATTAATTTCTTAATATAATAATGTATAATTCAGTCTTACCTGAACGTTATTGAAATGTCAATCTACTCTTTGAATTATTTCTTCATAATTGCGCCACGATTAGGCCATTATTATAGGCCTATTGACAATTATGCTCATTATCCAAACGCATTTAAAGAACGACTCCAAGTTGTACCATTCCGCAAATGCTTGGTTGAAAATGCCTGCCAATCATCGATCAAACTGTTCTATCTTTTATTTCAGGAAGCATTTTCATCGATTAGTGAACATGCAAAGTAACAAGTAAATGAACATTTCAGGCGATAAATAGAACATAAATACACAACTTATGTGCTAACTTATGTAATTACAGATGTAATATACAAGATATGAGAAAATATTTATTTTTGGACATAAAAAAAGCATTCGACGAAGTCTGGTACGAAAGTTTACTGCAATTTACCAATTATTAAAATCTTACCTAAATAACCAAACATTCTACGTAAAAATAAATGATTCGTACTGAGATTTACAAGCAACAAGCGCTGCAGTACTATAAGGAAGTCTGTTACGTCTAATACTTTACACTTTAGACACAGCAGACGTTCTAGCAACACCAAACACTACCAACATGTATATGGCAATGAGTGGAAATCCACAAGAAGCAGTTGAGATCTTACAAACCTACATAAGTTCACTGAAGAATGGTTGCTAGAGCAGAGAATAATAGTCAATTATAATAAGTGTAATTACATTGTTTTCACTTTTCGTAGACACTCTAAAGATCATGCTTCACATCAATGAATACCGCAAACAAAAGTGATCAAATATCTGGAATTCCATTTACACTGGAAACTAACTTGGAAACAGCATGTACATATAGAAAGATGCAACAAGAATTAGGAGGAAAGACGCGTCGTGGTTAACCAACCGTCGTTCGAAACTTAGCATAGTAAACAAACTACTAATCTACAGAGTATTATCTAGGGTATTTCTATATAGGGTATCTATAGAGAGATAATAAAACGAATATGGACGTACGGCATCCAATTATGGGATATAGTGGCTAAAAGCCGCCAAAGCATTGCCAAAGTGGAAGCTATACAATCATACTTCGTAGCATAGTAGACGCACTTTGTTACATACTAAATGAAGAACTACGCGAAGATCTTCAAATGTCCGCTATAAAGGAGAAAATTCAGTGAATATCCGACAGACATAAAACAACACCAATGAACCACCCAAACGCGCTAGCCAAATAAACTGTAAATAACTGACAGTGTCGTTTAAAGGTTGAAAAAGAAACGACCGCAGCATCTAGAGTGACGCAACATCAAATATTGAAACATTCTTGTATAGTGCTAATCCAATGAGATTAAAGTGTAGGAATCTACTGGGAGTTATTAAAAAAAAAAAAAGAAAAAATATGCAGCGCAAAGCACGTATTTAATTACAATTGAGAGTAACTTATAGTTATTTGCATTATTTAAATATTATAATATCGACATCTGTGAATATTGGTATTAATGCAAATAATTATATACTTATTATTCAAAGTTGTTGAATATAAATTATTTACATCTACAAGAATGTTTCGATTAAATTTCTAATGTTACGAAGTATAATGCATCGACGTATTTTTTTTTTCAGTATTCACTTCGTGTGTTGTATTACACAACATACATTCATTTTTCATTCATTGTTGTAAGTTTATCGCACTATTTATCGATGACAAGACGACAAGGTCTTTAGGTGTCGTCGTAAAACAAAGCGACAGAACTCAAGTTATTTGAAGTTATTATTACTTCAGAGATCGTTTTGAAATTTACTTTATTACTTTGAATTCTATCTTTAAAAAACACGTCGTATTTAATACCTTTGGAATACTGATAAAATATATTTGCTACTTAAAGTAGTGAACTACCTTTCCTAGAACATGTAATTATCATAATACGATATTTTTATAAGTATGAAAAATTCGTAAATAAAGTTTTAGTTTTGGCAAATTTATTTACAAGTAAATAAGATGGACCACTTCAACAGAAGTTACATTATTCTATTAAATTAAATGGTAATTATTCGGAATAGAGGCTACTGCGTCGATTTCAATGACCTTGAAATATGTTGTAAAAGATAATATTCTGAGCAGGTATGTTTTGTTTAAGCGGTAATGCACAAATATCTGAGAAAATACAATGATACGAAAAGATGTTTTAGACAAAAGTGGTATGGTATAGCGAAGTACATGCTGAACTTTTATCTACTTGACCTTGAGATGATCGTGAAACAGTCTGTAAAGGCGACATTAAAATTTTTATACGAATACCTCCATTTTTTATTATATATTTTTGTAGCTGACAGTCAGATCTCATCAAAACACTATAAACTCTTATCTTCTGTGTCATCCACTATGAAAATATGAATTTTAAAATTCAATGTGCCGTCGGCATTAGCGTTACACGATGTACACAGCAGAGACATATAAAAATCATTTTCATAAATGCTGTACTGTCCAAATACAAGATCGGAATTTTCTAATATGTCCAAAACAGTCAATCATTTCTGAGCAGTCACTTTTAGCTGATATCTTGTATTATTCTCTTGAATTTGAGAATTTATATCATGATAGCAAATGGTGCGGAAGAGACAAGATTGTAATGTTCTGAAAACGTCCCTACGTCACCTATACGAATATGTGATAAAAATGGAAATTCCCATTTAAAAATTGCAATGTCACTATCATAACAACTGCCAAAATTACCGTAAGGTCAAGTACACGAGAGTGTAATATATCTTCGTCCATGTCAGGCAATTGTTGTCTGAAACATTTTTTCGTACCATTGATGTTTCTCAAAATATTTGTGCGGTTTGAGATAAAGTGGACATATTGTATATACTAAATCATTATTAAAAATAAAATTAATTTTTTTACTATTTTTAAAGGAAATATTCTTCAATCTGCCATATTAAACTGCGAATCTTCATCCATAATTTTTGATACACGGACCGTTTATTTTGAAAGTGACATAATTCAGGATTTTCCTTTGTTTTCAGATATTCAAGTGTTCGCGTTCCCACCGATTGAAAAATCCTAATAAGATCTTCTTAGTTTGTTTACGTCTGTACGCGTCTAAGTAGATGTAAATACATTATACAAATAGGTCTTTGAGAATTAACTAAATGTCCTTCATATATGTTATTATTTACTAATTATCTACGGAGACAAAGAATTAGAGGAAACACTAATCGTCTCTACTTGAAAATTCCACAGGGCGGTTTTCGATATGTTATTATGGATTTCAATGAGTAAGCAGGTTTAATATTTAATCCACGATTTGAGGGTCGCCGTGCACTCCGCTCCTCGAGCTAACCTACTTTCGTTCGTGTAAGAAGGTTTGCTCGCGCACAGGGATATTTCGGTTGATTTTTAATTGTCAGTGACTAAAAAACAAAGTCAGAAACGCAATATTTCTTATTTTTGATTTTCATCTTACTTTAGCCTCAGGAATCATCTCTCAAATTTTGTTACACCTGTAGCCGAAGACGTTCTATATACAAGGTGTCCCTCGTAATGGGATTCATTTTGCATACGTTCTTACCATTTGCGGCCATGTAGCAAGAAATGTTTTTAACTGTATTTTAATAGCGTTGAGTGTACTATGTACAGATGACGATAAAAGAATTCCGATTGCCGTAAATTAGTTTTCGCATTATGTGCAACAATATTTCGTTGCTATCCGTCCGGATTTTTCCGGATTTTTTTCCGGATTTGTTCTAGTTTTTATGAATATTCCTCACTCGCTGACCAAATGGTCAGCCTTCATCGATCATCCGTATTATCATGCTATACGTGCGTTGCGTGCAGTGATCTGTCATGCGTCAGACGCATCTATACTAATATACCGGGTAGCAATGCATTTGTTTTTTCTAGGAACGATTTTTAAGTATTGTGTTCGTATCAGATGCATTAGGTGCAATCTACATGCAAACACACCGCTATCCTTCTACAATTTATAATTTACAGAAAATTGCATCGTGGATATCTAACCTAAAAAAGCATGTAGCTAGAGTTTTTAGATTTCAGGCGGAGAAGTCCGGGATTTTAATGCTCTTCATCGCAGATTACTAATTTTATGAATGGCAAACTTATTTAATAGTGATATCAGTTCGATCAGCTTTTGATTGCTTTGTCATTTTCAAGATATGTTATTATAACTTCGATTAAGATATTTTATATTTTACTTGATTATTTTACGTAGGACACCCTATAAACACAGGGTGACTGAATATCGCTATTACATCGGGGACTATTTGACAGTCAACAATGACGATTACTATAGTGGGGACAGTTGTATTAGTAATTGTATTTTGTATAGTAGTTGCATTGGTAATTTGTATAGGCGTAATTTAACGTATAGATAAAAGTTATTTTAAACGATTAATTGCTTGTTATTAATTCTACGACTGCGATGTAACGAAATTTGATATCGCGATAGTATAGATAATTTTAATAACGTCGCGATTTGAAACACCAAATTAAACGATTATCGTGTTAATTTATAAAAAAAAACTAGGTGAAAAGAAAAATTACTGGTACGTGTAAGTCAGTAAGTATAAAGATTGATCGATAAGTTATCTATAATTTGATAAAGAAGCCGAGCGGAAATTTGATGCTTACCGACCTCATAAGACCATATGCAGTCTTTGTGAAGATACTCGATACTGTATTTTATTCTTGCAAAAATGCATGTAAGTAATAGAACAACACTTAATCTTTACGTTATAATATGGTAAATTTTCTTTCTTCGTCTGATGGAACTGATTTACGTTAGATGTCATTTCATCTCGGTGAAAATGAAGTTATTTTGTTTGATGAATGGCACGCGATAGATGGACAAGGTATTGGATGGTCCATGGTTGGTATTATTCTTTTGACGTCTATATATGAAGGATTAAAAAGCTATCGGTGAGTGACTTACGATTATTTTTATAATTAAGATATGTGTTACGGGTGGAATTATCGAAATATATTAATTTGCTTCTTTCTTTGTGTGTATATGTGTGTTTAGTGATCATTTGTTCATCAATACAGCACGGTTATGGAAAACGAAAAATAACAGATCTAGGACGTATGTATTTTATCTTTCAGATATTTTTATTTAAAGTCATCGGGATTTTTATTACAATTATGGATACTCGATATCCTTAATTTTTGTTATTTTAGACATACGAGATATAACATTTGTCGTTCGTGTGAATTTATTTAAGTTAAGAGCTAATAAATTTAGAATCAAAGATTGTTATAATAATGATACTGTAAAGTCACTTCGAATAAGTAACTAATATGTAAATAAAATAAATAGTCCCATGATAAAACGAAAGTTACTTATTTCCTTCAAAAATATGCCTATTTATTGGTAAAAAAAATTAATTTAAACGAATTTTATACCAATTAGAGTATCTGAAACATGAATTTATCTAAACTATTTCTCAATATGCGAAACATTTTAATTTTGGATTTAGATTATTACTGTGTTCTGTCAAAGTTAGTTCTTATATCTTTTCTGCAATTTACTATTTCTTATAACATCAAAAAAACTGTGTTCCTATTAAATGGAGATAAATATATTATTATTACAATAAATACATTATTATTAAACACCGAGAATACCATTTACTAAATATGTTTTGTTTCAGGTCGTTCCTGTTTTCGAAAATACACTTCTTCCAAACAATTATCCACGTTATTCAGTTGATCATAGGATATTGCCTTATGCTAATTTTCATGACGTACAATATTTGGCTTTGCCTCGCTGTGGCGTTAGGTGCAGGTCTTGGTTATTGGCTGTTTGCTTGGGAAAAGTCCAGTGGTGATAATATTGATTGCTGCTTGTAAATCTTAAAACAGTATTTTGTAATGATATAATTAATCCCGTATTATCGTGCTCTTAAAGCGCTCATATATAATTAAAATTATAATGTAAATAATTTGTACATCATTTATGATATTGAATTTATGAAAATAGTCCTACATATTTATTTATAAAGCGTCAATTTTGTTTCAGAGGCATTTGAAACAGTACTTTGACAGAAAATATTTTTTAGATAGAAATAAATGTAACTTTCTGGTATATAATAGTGCTATAATAGCACTAATATATAGACAGAATTATTATGTATGTATTATGATTTAAATATAAATAGAAAAAAACTATAAACTCATAATTTTTTACATAGATCATGTACAAATAAGCGTGTACATAAAATGTTAAATTTGCCTGTAATAAACATTTCTCTGTATTCATGTAATAATTATATAATTCGTCATTTATATATGTATAAATAATAACTTTCTGATAAATTTTTGTACAGTAATCATAATTGACTAATTAACTGATGTTGTACAGTATATACTATAATCAACTGGACACGATCGTTATCTAATCAGGAGTCACTATTTATTGTACAACATTATCAGTATTTCGATCATTCAGTGTATCGTCGGTGCAGGAGAGCTACCACAGGTTAAATATAAAATATTTCTTGTAGTACAAAAATAGTAACAAAGATAAGTTTAAGATGAACGCTTATAGTCAAAGCCGAGAAACAATTTGCGGCACAAGCACAAGAATTGTATTTAAAAAAGAGTTCAAGACAGTTAATGATATAATACTCGGATGGGATACATTTAACAGTATAACGTTAGTTCTCTTCGTGGTACTCTTTTGTGTTTGGTGTATAATGTTCTTTATAATGTATGATTCAAATGCTATGAGTCATGGAGATCATTCAGCTCACCAACACTAAGAGCATTAACTCGAGATACACCGTTTTTAACAATACGTAAGTGTTACTACTTATACTATTGAACAAAAAGATAAATTCAATAGACAAATAAATTATCTAGTGCACTCTGATGATAACTAATAGTTATTAGTGCTCTAGTGTTGGAATTATCTATTAGCTATCACAAATGTATAAATATAGCAACAAACAGTAGTATCAATTCATTCTGTAGAATCATTTATTTCTATCATAATTCTTATATACTTTTATATCAGGTCTTAGATATTAGGTTTTAGATATTAGGAACGATTCTTATTCTATTTTTATTCTTTCATATTTTTCTTAGAGAACAGAGAACAATATATTGCCATATTATGAATATTATGTTTCTGTTTTAGGTAATAATGAATTTACTTGTACTATCCGAGAAGAAAATGATAAGCCTCCAGGCCCGAAGTTTACCTACATCGTATTTTCAACTGAGAAACGAATTTTTGATACTTGCGAAGAATTTCGGAAAAAGAGCTCGAAACGACTCTGTATCAAATGTATACTATCATTCAGGTTTTCTAATTTATTCCATAATAAATGCAATATTTTATATACAATTCTTTTTAAGTTCCTTCATTACGATATTTCCAACAGTAATTAATAAATAAAATTAGAAATACGTATTCCAATATGGACAATTCTAAGAAATATTATTCTGTACAGTTCGAACTGAAAATTTCACGTCCGGTGAGCAATCGTCTGATAAACAATTTATATCACTGTAACAAGCATATCAGAAAGTGTCAGAGATTAAACGATATCCTCGTTAAGAATGGTAACGAGGCGTCGTAATCGTTTGTTCGTTTGCCTATGCCTGAACGAAAACCATTATACCAAAACAGAAGTTTCTTTCTTAAAAACAGAAGAAAGAAAAAGACATCACAAATTGTTCACATATGTCCTTCCCATTTATTTTCATTCCTGTTGGCATCTGGCGGCATCTAGATACGGTTCACACAGGTAGTACGAACCGTCAAGTCATTATACTTGACACGACGAGTCTCGCACAATTGCACGCTGCGTTTTATTCACCCTTTCGTGAAAAGAGAGACAGAGTAAGGGTGAAGTACTCTTCGTCATGACATCTGTCACGAGAATGGTACAGAAACGTTAGATGGTACAGTAGGCGTAATAAAAATTTGCTGAAACTATTATCTACTCACGCAAATCATTTGCTTTGTTTAATGGTAACCGGATAGTTTTTGTTACAGTGATAGAATTTATTACATAATTTGAGATAAATTTAAGTGTTAAATATATTTCAATAATTCACATATTTAAAGTCAATGCCTTTATATTATAACTCGTCTGGACAACGCGGATGTTTATGCAAATTCATTGAAACGAATGGAATTTAAATAGAGTTTTATTTGTAAATTAAATATTGTAACAAATATCTTGTATATTTTTGTCTTACTCTATAGAATCCATGTACATCTTTAAACTTGAAGTTTAAAAGAAAATATGAATATTTAATTGAAAAAGGTTGTATATCACAACAATATTATACATATACTTAGCTAGATATAAAGTGTAACACTCTACACATATGCATTGCTTCGAAAATAACTTACATTTCGGACATCAAAATTTAGTATTAGAATCGAGGTTTTTTTTTTGTGACAGTATAACACAAAAACAATTCTGTTAAATCGGTCTATATCTACCAGAAAATTTTCCTTTTTTAATTTACGATATCTAGTAACATTATTGTTAAATTGGTTCGTAGAATAATAGTACTCGAAGTCGACAATAAAGGAACATCGCCAAGAACATTTTCGTCGTTCGATCGCTGGTAAATACCGTATCGGAGTCTCATTGTTTTCAAGATAATGTCACGTGCTTATTTCGGTTCTTCTGTCGCCGTTCTAGGGCAGAGTCGACGAGAGATCAACAGTTATCGCGCACCCCCTTTCGTTTCAGCGCTATTCATCCGCTTTCTTCCTGAGACACACCCTCCCAACTTCACCACATCCACCTGCCTTGGGCGGCCTTTGTGCATTAAGCCTTTTGAACCTGATAATCCATAGAGATTGCAGCTCAACGGTTCATGGTCTTTCGCCTTTTTTATTTTCTTTTCTTTTTTTTATGTCACAACTTCCTCTTCGCCTTCTTCACCCCCCCCCCCTACCTCTGAAACATCGCAATTTACAATATAAGGATATTCATCGTACGAAAACAGAATTGATTCGTGCGAAGCTACGATTCATGTATATGTATATGATCCTGTCCAAGTTCGTGAAACTTGCCAGCGAGTCGCGTTTTAACAGCTAAGCATGACTGACAGCCTGTGTATCCACATAATTAATTCTGAATCACGTACAGACCCCATGTAGATCACTTAGCTCAGTTAAATCATACATGTTCATTGTAACGTCCAAATCATTTTCAATTTATCATTTCTATACTGTATACAGCATGTTCGATAAATAACTGACTAAAAATTTAATAGTGTGAAGATGAAACATATAAAACTTGATAAGAAAACGCTTCATTCAAAAATAAGGGTATGTGCTAATGCTATTTGTACGATCACTATTATATGATCAGTTTTAAGTTTTCGTAGCCATTCTGTATGTGAGCATTAATATATCGGCAAACTCGTTATTTTTCAAATCGCCTATTTTGACATAGTACTCAAGCAACACGATAGTCTCATTCTTTATTATTCCGCCAGGAAATAAATTATCATAACGTTCGGTTAATTTCTTTTTACTCGAGTTCCTATTTGTTTGTAAAGAGCACGTGTTTCCTTTCACGATCATACTTTGTATTCTTTTTAATGACGAGCAGGTATCAAGACAGTTGAATGTCTCCTGTAGGGTGTATATGGCGGAACGACCATGATATATTGTTTCTATTCTAAGTTAATATAATAGGGCCGCATTGAGATAATGAGTTACGCTCAGAAAGATTAATTCTAAGGTGTGGACTGGCTTTTGTCATTTTCTGCGTTATAATTGTAGGTTCTACAACGAGGTGGTTGAGTTTAATTTAAGATTAGGTTTCGACATAGCTATTGTCTTTTAAAATATTTTAAATACTAATACATCTTATAATACATGACGATATTACTAGATTCGTCGATATTACAAACCACGTGGAATTTAATTATTATAATAACGCTATCAGCTTCAAACAGAATCAAAATGTATGATAGTAATAATAACGATCAGTATACTTTTAAAATTACTTGTTAGTCAAATATGCAAACTTGATGTTTATAAGAATAAAAGTATCAACACATAATATAATTATCGTTATTAAAACTAGGAGCTGTATGCGCGCAATATATTACCGATCATCCCATGAGATGTTAGAACCATGGGAATACTCCCCCATGCAAGTGGCAGAGCTACAAGTAGGAGAGACAGCAACTGGTCGATATTGGCGTGTTACCATATTACAAATCCAGTTGATGTTGGAATTCGACAAAAATCTTTGTTGACCAGTATAATATTAAAATTGAAGAATTAAAGTCGAAAAATATAAAGATCCTTCGACATACAAAACCCATTTAACTTTAAAGAAACTTTTTAACAAACAAATGAAATCCAAACTTCCAACTTTAAATTCGAAACATTGTTCGTTACAATAAGCAAATATAATTCGCTTAAATATCTATAGCATCATCAATCATCGTTAAAACGTTGAAGATGTATTATAAGTAGATATAAGATGCATTGGAAGAGCAATAACAAGTTGGCGAGTAAGTACACGCTTCATTAGAGAGAGTCGATCTAAAGTGCATTAACGGGTATCTCGGATTGTCGCGGAATCTTAAACCTTTGTTTGCACATCGATCAAAGTAAAGCTTTCGCATCCGATGGGTGACTCGCGAGAGAAAGGGAAGGTGACCTGATGGATCGAATAATCGGAGGAGAGTCATCCCCAACCATCCAGACGCCGTAGCGCGGTGTGAGTAAATGTACGCGTGTGCGGCCGGTCGATACTGACGTCGGCTGCTAGTAAGCTGTGCATTCTCCTTTTACGCACCCTGAAACGTCGCATTTCCGCTCTGTTGCAACCCTCTGCCCTCGTACCGCCCCTAATAATGTTGTATAACCATGCAAGTAACTTGTACGCTTAATCGACAGCGCGTAGCTTATCGTTAACGTAATCGGACAAATAACAAGCTACTCTGCTAATCAGATTGCGACGACGCACAGTGGTGGTACACAGACAAAAATCGAAATAATCATTGTTTGATTTTCGTCTTATTATTCGATGATATTATCAGTTTGTAATTAAGTAATATAAATGTAAACAGTGAGTCCTCCTCAAAATCGATAAAGGATTAGTAAAAATCGTTTCTACATCACAATCCAATCACTTGAGAGTTGGCTTACGCATTCGTTATACATTCTTCTTTGTTAATTCTTATTCGATAACGTTTGTTACACTTTGAATATGGAGAGATATTGGGCAAAGATACGCATAATTTTAATTTTCAATCTAAAAATTTCTCGTTTTCTTTAAAGAATTATTACAAAAGAAAAAAGAAACGGAACCATCCTCTAATTGTGATTGTTCTGTCTAAAGAAGATATTGTACTGCATTTGCTATATAATTCTTTTCTGCGACGAACTGCTACACTGGATGTTATTTATTTATTTATTTATTTTGTGAAATCCATTTGTGATCGAGACTTATTTGAAGAGTGGATTTACGACCACGCTTATTCCAAGGAAATTTTAGAAGTTATACAAAAATTCTGTTCGCTGCTAAATGCCAGTACAATATCTGACAAGTTGAAGGGGAGGATAAGTGACATTTACGAGAAAAACGTACGTTTGACAAAGAAATAGATATTCAAGATATTTAAACTGAGCCAGAGAGTAGGGAATAGGATAAATTCCGTTTATGAGTTAAATTTTTAGTAGAATTATATACATTATTAGCTGAAGATACTAGAACACCTGTGGAACCTCTTACATGATGGTTTACTAATCAATAATATTCGTGAATTAACAAGTTGCGAAATGTAGGATGCAGAGCCTCTTTTTACCATTTTTCCAATTTACATTATACAAGGTATGACTCGTAATTTACAAAATTTATTTTATTCGTTTTGTCACCAAACCTGTTACTGTTATAGAAAAGAATTTGTTATACCTAACATATGTATGTATGTACATATATCTTTACTAGTTTACTAAGGATTTATATGTGCATCCTAAGACAGACTTGATGAATCTACGTAAAATTACACTTATTTACATTAAAAAAGAAGCTTTTTAAGTATATCTAACAATAAATGATATCGGCAATGGATAAAGAGATTCCTACAAAAGTTACACTGAAATATTAGTTCAATTATCTTTATGTAAAATGAAGGCAATTTTACTACTAAAATAAACAAATACAGTAAATA